TTACATTCGATTGGTCAATTTCATACTGTTATTTACAGCCAAACTTTATTTCCATTATAGACGGTCCTTAAATGTGTTAAATGACGGGACCTAAAACGGTAACATGTAAAGAGAAATTCAGCCGAAATAACACACTTAAATTTGCGGTGTAATGACAATAATTTTGTAGTAAAAGATCATAACAGTTTTAAAGAAACATATAGTAATTTCGGTCATAATATTTGTTTGGTCCACGATCGCAGAATGTTGTTGCAATGTCTTCTCCAATATTCATTTCGCGTGCGACTCCTCGACGGTCGACAACTCCTCGACGATCGACAACTTCTGGCCCGCGCGATGGAGGAAATCGCGAGCGGAAGTCTCGTTTGACGGCGTTTTCTTACGCGGCTGAACTTCTGGCCGCGCTATTATTTATCACCGCGCAGGGCTGCGCGCGATCAAATAATTAGTTCCCGACCGCACTTTCTTCGCGAGTTCTTCCCGTCGTGAACGACCGAGCGACCGACGGAACGACCTGTCGGCCGCCGTTAATCGAGACACGTGATATTTTCCCGCCGCTCTCCGGCCGTTATACTTTCTCATAATTTACCAGCTGTCACGGCTGATAGATACGTCGGCCGTAATAAAATAATTGCTATCTGTCCGCTTCTGTTTCTCCACGCTCTGCCGCCCCTATTGCGTCCCCCGCCTTCGCGCGCGAAATCGATAACGCCACGGTGCTCTTCGCGCGCTATGGATCACGCTCACTATCACAATTCACCCGGATCTCCATGTAGACAAATGTACGTAAAGTTGGCAGCTACTTTTCCAGTCGATTTGCGTCCCTTATAAGCGGTCCATATGATACTTATATTTATCACGAATGACAAAGTAGAAATGCGAAAGGAACACGGCAAAAATAATCGAAATTTGCTAAAAAACAATACACATTATGCAAAATATAGTATAAAAATCTAAATGTAATTTTTCGTAAATTTGTTGTTGCATAATAATAACAATAAACGTATATTTACCCACAAATGGTGTAACTTTTTAAACATATAAAATCTCAATATTATTTTCGTAGTCGTTTGGGAGATAAAAAGTTCTTACTAACTGTTTGTTGAGATGGCAATCTTTTGCAGATTTTATATTTTTAATATCTATTTATCCTTTAATATTTATTTATCTTATAACCTATAATGGATGTATCATTTATCAGATACTCAAAGTTTTATAAATCCCACGGAAAATGGACGAAATTTTACTGTATTCTTTATTGATTAATTCAATATAATGTATTTTTGTTTTATTAATACTACCAAAATATTTATAAAGTTTCCAACATCAACTGTCTCACGTAATAATCACGAAAGTTTACCAGGCTCGTCGTTCGACGTATTCCACTCAATAAGCGCTAATGCTCAAGTTTCGCGGTGCTCCCTGAGTTCTCGTCCGTACATCGCGCGGATTCCGTCTCGAGTCCTGCTCGAGTACGTCCGTTTATCGAGCTCTAATCGCGCACTGTCCCCGCGTCAGTCACGTCGCTAATTATGTCTTTCAATTACGGCACGACTCGTCGGGGGAATTTGCATTTCGCGCGCACGCCATCACGTCCTTCTTTCCGCGCTGCCGGGGACGATGGAAATCCAGTCGACCGCGTTTATGGGAAGCCGCGCTCGCCTCCTTTATTATTTGCCCACCTTCCTTCCTTCCCTCAAGAAGAAAGAGAGAGGGAGGAGGAGGGAGTGGGCGGAAGGAGAAGAGTGGAGGAGAGGCAGCTCATTAAAAGGTGATTAATTTTCGGCCCAACATCGTGCGCCCGCGTGCACTCGCTCGCTCGCTCACACGTAATCGCGCGGCCGTGCTTTTCCTCGCGGTTGGCTACTTCCTTTATTTTCTCACCGACATCCGGCCGCGCTACGCCTGCGACTTCCGGACGCGAGTAAGGCGCGACGGGGAGAGAGGAGGCTCATTCACAAAGACCTGTATCAACGGGTAGTGCATGCGAGTCGCCGGCTCCGCTGCACGTGCTTCACCGGCGCGGCCACCGCCACCGGCCTGTAAATTTGACGATGCGATGCTTGAACATTAATCGATTAAAATTTGCTGTGACTGAAACAATCGGCAAGTCAATACGAAGAAATGAAAATTAATTGTCATGTACAAAATTGTCATACATACAATGGTGGTTTACTTAAATCGAATACCTTGAATATTTTACTTATTTTTGATAATACGGAAAAATGTTTCAGATAAAAGTGGAAGGGTGTCGAGGGGAACACATTTTGGTCACGTTATTTTTTTCTAGGTAGAAGCGCTAAAAAGATATGAGGGCTTTCATTTTTCTAAATTGAATTATGATTTTTTAATAAATATAATTCCTCTATTTATTTTATGTATAAAAATACTAAGAAGTATAATTGTCAAAAAATCAATAGTTTACGAGTATAATCATAAGTAATGTCAATTGATGGAATCAATCAATAACCAAATTCTGATTCGATTAATTATACATTGATTAACAACTAATTTTATCAATCGATTATTGATTAACAAAAAAAATTTAATTGTCCAAAATAATCGACAAATCAATCATCAAAATCAAGTTATCATTATACATATAATCACGAATAATTTAATCCATTGATGTGAGATTATTAAGTATTAATCAAATTTTTATTTTGTTTATCATGTACTAATTAATAATTAATTTTATCAGTTGATTATAAATTATTCGTATGTGATTATGTGTATAACAATTAGTGAATTTTGATAATTCTTTTGCCCATTATTTTAGCGAGAGAAAGTTTTAATCGATTAATGCCCAAACATGCGCTTGGTATGACACGCGTGCAAATAAACGCACGTGTATGTGTGTGCACGTGTTGATATGAGCGCGCGTATTCGTTACGACATATGGAAATTGCAAACTATATAAATGAAAGATGCCGCTCTTTCTTGATCTGCGAGATAAGACCTAATCGTGTGATTCTAGCGGCGTGTACGCTTTGAGAAGCATTCGCCATTTCGTGCGCGTTAATGATTTTTCTCTTGCGCCCGCGCGCTTTATTCTCGCAAATCGATAGCAATCTGGACTCTCCACGAGCTCCCTTTATTACTCGGCAGTACGAGGAAGTAACGCTCCTCTGACTTCTGATAATACTTGAGTCACGCGCATCGCATATGTATAAAGAAGGATACACAGGGCATTCCAAGCTTCTCGTTTCGCGGAATTTAATTGCAGAGATGTCGGGCAGCAGGTGTTGGGAATCATGAAAAAAAATACGCGCGCGAATTGCACCAGGAAGTATACTTTTTCGCGAAGAAGCAGTCAAAATCGAAATTAAGTCAAATCACAAAAATCACCAGAATCAAATTACTAAACTTAGATTACAGGAATGAAATCTGTTTCGGTCGCAGGATCGAGCAAACAGAGGCAGCTTTTAGGTAAATTGTGTGAAAACCGCGTTGGAACGAGAGCATTCCAGTTATTTCACCGCGGTTTTCACACAATTTGCCTAAAAGCCATCTGTGCTACCTCGATTCTACGACCCAGGCAGACGTCACTCTGGTAATTTGAGTTTGATTTGATTTTGACTATTTAATTCTGGTGATCTGATTTGATTTTGACTGCTTCTTCGCGAGAAAGTATCTTTCTGGCGAAATCCGCGCGCGTCTTATTTCTGTGACTGTTAACATTCGTTGTGTCACGTTTGATATATTGCCGAAAAATTTTATAGGAATAATTAAGATTATCTCGGTGATAAACGGCGAGCTAAACGAGCAGTTACGTTTATCGAACGAGCGCCGAGAGACTTCATTTATCGTGAGGCATCGCGACAAGCTTGCAACTTTGCATATTAATTTACTCGTTATCCTTGATGCATCCCTGTCCACATGTTCTGCTTACTACAAGGAAACTCCGTTTATTGTGTCCGCGATGTTCTTTCCAAAGAAAACATGCTAATCAGGACATGTACCGATCGATATCACTGTGAAGCCCCGCGTTAAATATATATATAAATGTGCGCATACACGAGTGGCATTTCCTCAGTGCAACGCCAATGACAATAATTGAATCATCGATCACGCAGAATTTTTGTCACGAATTCCACACGCATGCGATTCTTCCGTTTAAACTGACCGGGAATTACCGTGAAAACAACACGCGCGTGAATTATTTTCAAGTTGCCCGATTAATTGCAGTTATTATCCAATAATAAGAAGAATGGATTACGATGAAATCATAAATTACGATAACAATTGTATATTGAACATAAGTCCACGCACGTAATCGCGGGCACACGCAAATATATTTAAATTGTTTATAATATGCTGACGTGTGTCACCAAATTAGAAAAAAATTCAAAAATATAAAATACAAAATAAAAAATACAAAAATATAAAAAAATGTGCATTACACCAAATCATAAAAAGAGAAAAAATATTAATGTAAACACTATTGATGTATTATAAAATCATTAAAAAAATTAAAGAATATTAATTTATATATTAACCAAATTAAGATATTATTAAAAAATATCAACATTAAGAGATATTAATATAAAAAAATATATAAATATTAATATTAAAAGTAAAAATATTAATATATCACTAAATTGTATATAAAGGAATCACTAAATTGTAAAGGAGATTATTCATAATACATAAATTAGAAGAAAAAACTAAGTTAAATTAAACTAAATTAAAAATTAATAAATTAAAATTAATAATTACAATAATTATTTATAATAAAAAACATTAATACACCACTAAATAAAAACAAATATAAAATATTGATATAAGAAGATATTAAAATATTATCAAATAAAAAAAGAAAGGAATATTAATACTGAGAGAGATCAATGTCATCAATATTACCAAATTATAAGGAAAGAAAAAAGAGGCGAAAGAAATCAAGCAGAGGGAAAGGAAAGGAAACGACAGGACGCTCGAGATCCTTGAACTTGTATCGGAACACGCGCGACGCGAACGGTTTATTAAGAGATCGCACTTACTCGATGGACTTAATCCGCTCCTCATTGTATCTGCGATGAAAGTCGAGTAATTCCTGCATCAGGCCGGCCTCCAGCATGCTGTCCACTCGGTCGTTCAGCCTCTTGGTGCGGACATTCTGCAAAGAATTTCGGAGAAAGGAGAGGCCCCTTATTAATTAAGCGAGACGTCGGCAGATATCGGTCGTTAAGAGACGTCCGCGATACGTCCGTGCTCCGAGACCGCCTCGAAACAGCACGACCGCGTTTCCTAGCGATTTCGGCCTGTCGTGGAGCCCGCTACTCTGAGAATATTAAGTATGCTATCATATGGCTCCGCGAGTTCTTTTTTCACGATTCAATCGAATCGAACAAGTATAACAAAAAGCGTCGATAGGCTTCATCGTCACCGCGAATTGCAATAGGAAATATGTTTTGTCGAGTGAACCGTGAAGAGGAGCAACTGGAACGCTATCAGACTCACGCTGTCTACACATAATTACTTTTATGTTGTCAGAGATAATTGATCGATCGTCTTGATAAATCGTGCAATCCGCGAAATACATCCGCCATCGTGGGTGCTTTAATAGTTATTTGTCAGAATTTTATGCAGTTTTCAATTTTGCGCATGATGTGTAATATATCAAAATTCGTATGTAGTGATGGAATTCTTAATTACTAAATTTTATAACTAAGTAATTTTAATTATTAGCATTCAGGCATGTGAGAACCTTTCAAGAAGCAAAACCAATTAACTCCATTTTCTCTGAACTTTAAAAAAATTTTTAAATATTTCTTTTTTAATACTACAGAATTCATAATTATTTAACATTTCAGGACTTTGCAGAAAGTAAAGTTGACAGGAAGAGAGAATATTTTATATATGGTTTTTTTTTCTCAAACAAATTCTTTTGAGTTTCACTGTGTTTCTGGTAACGTAGACGTAGACTGTCAATAAGGTCTGTCTTGTCAAAAGGTACAGTAAATTTCTCTAAAAACGTAGAAAATTTTCTAGTAACGCATTTCAGTTCCTGAACAGCAATATGAAGTCAAAGGCTAATTAGTATTGTCAATCTATTCTTCAATTACCAAATTCTATAGTAATTTTCACTACAAAGAAAATTCTGTAGTAATTAAATAACAGAACTCTACAGTAACTTTTACTGTAGGAAAAATTCTATAGTAGTCAAATAGTAGCAATTTTATTGTGATCTTCACCGTACAAAATTTTATAGTAGCTTTTAAATTCTCCCCGCATAAATTGTAAGTAAGGCTTCTGCGAGGCTCATTAGCGCCTGATGTACACGCGTCGCACCAGATAAATTTCAGGACGTATGTATACGTACACGTTTCATCACGAATCAATCGCCGATTCGCGAGGAGACAGGCACGCACACCTACGGCCCCGCCATCAGATATGACACCGTCGAACGATTCGGAATCATCTCGATGACCGTCCCTTGTTAAGATCACGCGATACCGTCAAGGAAAGACTGATCGACGCGTAGGATCAATACCAAGGACGGTCCTTGATCCTATCTATTAACCGTACGACGGCCACGGTTACGACGCGAGAAACAGCGCGTTCCGTTAGACAGGGGGAAAAAAATTCGCCGGCCTTGATAGCTCCCGCGAGGAGTTTTGCAATTATTTCTCTCTTATACGAACTAGGCGACAACAACGACGTTAGAAGGAAGCCGGCGTGTCCTCGAGCCTAACTTGCAAAATTGCCGACAGGCCCCGTGCGTGTCGTCGCGTCCTCTCTCTCTTTCTCTCTCTTTCTGTCTCTCCCTCCCCCCCTCTCTCTCATTCTCTCTCTCGAGTTTCGCACGCGGCCGATACATCACGCATCGTGACGCACGATCCTCGAAAAGAACGCCTGGGCGCACTTTTTATTCGCAGCCAACGTTCGCGAAACACACACGCGAGCGATATCGCCGAGAACCATCGCGTGTTACGTGCCTAATAACATCTCGGCGCCATTCCCGAGTAAAATATTATCGAACGATCGTCGCGCAGTTCGTTTCGCAATCGGATCGACGAGCACAATTATTCGTACATACAGTATTTCGTACATACAGCGAACGCTAAGTCTCGATAGCTGAGAAGTCATACACGGAGAACATATCGTAGTAAAGATTACAACAAAATTGTGTGATCTTGAATTTCCATCTACCATGGAAACTTTCCACTATCATGGAAATTGTGTTCGAAGTTACTATATGTTTGTTTGAAAATATTACACACATTTGATTTTTTGCTATAAAATTATTGTAATTTTTTGAATATTTTTTTTTTAATTTTTTTCTTTTAATTCCTTTTTCTTAAATTCTTATCAATTTTTTATCAATTTTCTGTAGCAATTTACATTGCAATATCAATATAGTTCTGCTTTACAAAGAATGTTGTAAGATGAAACATAATCTTAATTTTTATTACAATATTTTTTCTATATCAATATTTTTATTTCGTGTCTGTAAAAAAATGGTCCTTTTCGCCTACCGCGAAAATATCCGAAGTATCGTAATTTCCCCTTACCGTTAATAAAATCTTTTCCTCATAGAATACTCCGTTCAGATATTCTTATGTCAATGGTGACAACCAAGGAGCGGCACACATTCCTATTTCGAGCTAACCTCGATCGTGCGCGGATATATTCACTTCCGCGAGATGAAATAAACGGATATATATCTGTTTCTGATGCAAATAGGTTAACACCAAACGTGGGTCCAGAGGGTGAAGCCCCTAACGTCCTTCGTGAGTTCGTTGCGGTTATGACAAGAGGATGTATCAAGATAGATTAGAACGACGCACGCGAAACCGCATGAAACTTAATGTCGAGTGCGATCGACTGACTTGACAGTTTAGTTATCTATTGCGTCAGAAGGAATTCAATGAAAGCGTGTAATAAGAGACTGTGAATCAGAGAGTCGCGTTAATCGCGCGAATAATATTCCGGGTTCGAGCACGAGTGCATAGTTAATGAAAGCGTTCTAGCTTATATCAGATTGGCGCAAAAGATTTGTCATTCTTCTATTGAATTCTTTTGAATAAAGTTTCGGTATTAGGAGGAAGATAATAAGCAATGTCGTTAGATGTCTAAAAATATCGAGTCGTTGATTTTATTCACAATAATTGATATTCTTCGAATCATTTTGTTCTTTATTTTATTTCACAAATACAACAAAACTTCTGCACCAACCTAATAATTTCAGTTCTACATTGAGAAAAAAAAACATCTAAGGAATAGTAAAAATTTACTTAGTAAATACTAATAATATATTTACTTAACTCCTTTTATTTACATAGAACAAACAATTGTTTTTATGAGAAAGCTAAGATTTTCTTAAAGTTTCAATAAAATGTATATTTTCTTATTTAAAAAATATTATATTGAGTTCCATTGGAATTTTATTTGAAAAACATTTTACATATTTCGTATTTATTTTATATAAAAATATATTTTATATTATATATTTTTTATATATTTTTTGAAAAATATTTTGTATTGGTAAATATGTTATTAGTTACTCATCCCGAGAATAAGTATTTACTATTTCTTAGGTATTTCTTCTCTCAGTGTTTGTTGGGCAACAAAATTTCTCGGAAACTTCGATACATGACAACACAGAACAAAACGATTATCCAACAGGTTATAAAATACTCAAACAAATAAAAATAGACCTCTCCAATATTAATGGCTAATGATGAAATTTTGCCGATGCGATAAGCATTAATAAATAATTGATTGAATTAAATTAAATTCATGATGATTAAATAACAGCGAGCGCGCTGATTAAGCAAGAGAATGCTTTCTTGCGACAGCCTAGTCGTGCCACAATCGGCACGTGAAATGTAAAAAGCCGCGAAACTGCTGGCTGTCTCGCTATCCTCGCTGACATAATTGCAGATATCTCGGCGCGACTTTTAATTGAACGCGCGCCTGGCAAGCGGCCGATATTATTCGAGGCACGCAAACCTTAATCGACCGTCCGAATTTATATCAGCATCGCGCGAAGCATTGAGAAAATATAACTGGGCGAGAGACAGGGCTTTTCCTAAATGTACCCAAGTTGAAATTGTTATTCTACTTTCAGTCTCAATATTCCTCAATAGATGTCTTATTTGTGTCACTTTAAAATTAGATCGTTCTTTTCTAGTTCTAACATATATTTTAGATACGTTTATTTCTGTTTTTTGTTTTTAATTCATGCAGTGACAAAATAGAGCATTACTGGATAAATATTCATTACGAAATTCCAGTAAGAAAAAAATAAATCTTGCTTTAATTTATGTTACTTTGAACAAAAATTATTAATAATTTTCTTCTGATTTTAAAATACGTTTTACATACGTCCAATTTTTCTTTTTCAACTCGTATATTGTCGGGAAAATAGAACGCGAGCATTATTGTAACAAACAAATGTACACATTCGCCACAAAATTCCATAAAAAGGGAAAAAAGAATCTCATTACACAATTCACAAACTTATTTGTGTTACTGAAAAATTAAAATATTTTCTTCTGATTTCAATCAGTATATTCTAAAAAAATATGATTAAAATCTATAAGCAAATATATCGTTTAATTTCTGCGGTAATATCATTGATCACAATGACAGCTCTCTCCATCTCTCTCTCTCTTTCACGCACAAGAAAGAAAGAAAGAGAGAAAGAGGGGGTCTTCATTAACACAGAAAACGTAACGGAGACGCGGCGCGCACAATAGGAGATCCGACGCCGAATGGTTCTCACGATCGTTCACGGTTAAAACGCGACCTCCGCAACCCGTTTCGGCTGTGCGCTCACTTTAAATCCCATTTAAATGCCGGAGCCTCGCGGCCCTACGCATACACACCCACCCACGCACGCGCGCACACACGCTCACTCACACGTCCGCGCACGCAAACGCTTTCCTCCTCACGTTTCATTCATGCGCGCCGCGACGCTCGAACGCACCTCGCTGTCGATGACGCAAACCGATGGCCAAAGTCGGTACTTGATGAGCACACGGTACATGGAGACACTATGTGGCCCAACTACATTCCACGTGTGCCGGTGCGTGTGCTAAAGCTATGACGGACTTTGCGGCCTGTGTGGACGATACGGGTGGCATTGAGATGGTCCGTGCGTCGAGAGAA